GACATCATCCAATTTGACAAAGAGCCCTAGCTGCTGAAGATGAGCGTGGAGATCGTGTACAATCTGGCTCTGGACGGCTGAACATTTGCTTTGCAGATCTGGAGATGAACGATATCAATGAATGTATACGCATGTTGAAGTTCAAGGACCAGATCAAAGAAGAGGATTTGGATGGGATGAAAGGTGTGTTCATGACACTTGAAGAGATAAAGAATTTAATGGTCTTGAAACTAGTGGAAGATGCAATTCAGATTTTGCGTGAGGTGCATGTGCGCCCCATACATAGATCACAGGAAGGTGCAAGCCGACTGGATCGTTAGGAGTCTAAAATCATTTACTTGGTAGAGAGGGGTAAAAGACCACATTGACCGCTTGAACATTCATGCTCGTTGCTCGTCACATGTGATGAAATACAAGTTGATCTAGCCCTATTTCAAGCTTGAATTTCAAGAAATTAAAGCAAGGAATCCAATCATCTTTGACAATTGGTGTCTTTTGGACGAATGATCCTTCTATCATTGCGGATGACAGCATGTGTAAATGCAATCGATTTTGCGGAAAGGATCACCCAAAGCTGGAAACCTTCTGTGATTGGGAAGTAGGTGAATCCGTCGCTGCTGCCTTTGCTGTTCTTGTGATTAAAGCGATGTTACTAAAGCAGTTTCTAGTTGACTTCGAGGGTGATATTATGCCGAGTAAGCTCAGTAAGTGGTCAACTTCACTATTGCCTTCACTTAACAAAGTGAGGTGCTTTAGAGGATACATATCAGATGACAAGTGGTTTTTGTTAGCAGAGGCACCAGAATTCTGTTTACTATCCGCACTCGACGGGTTGAGAGCTGGAACTATGAACCATCTGATGATCGGAAGGTTTTTTGTCCTCCGCTTCAAGGAACCAATACTTCGATGAGATTGTCTGTGTCTTGGTGCTACTCCGATGTGATTAGGGCTGAGAAGGCTAGTGGTGGCCCCATTCTTGGAAGAGTCGGAGATGTGTGCTTTTCAAATCGAATGAGTGAGAAATTGACGAGTCGAGTGGATTTGCCATCTCAAACCAGCGGGGAGCATGCAAATGCATAGCTAGATTTGTCCGCACACAACTCGTTCATGTATCTATTGGCCAATCACGAGGTAAGTTTACTTACAAGATTGTCAAGAGACGATCATACTCTTTACTAATGGTGCGGTTGAATTTCTTGTGCCGGACCGCCAAAGTTGCAAAAAGCTAAATTGAAAGAATGGTACCGATAGCACGGACCAGCTTCTCCTGTGACACAATAATCCCAGAAACTGCAGGAAACAAATTTGCACCGAGATCAAATCGACACCAAAACGAGAAAACCGAGATATTTTTACTGAAGTTGACGGATACCAAAAAGTTCCAGATTGACTAAGGCGATGGTAGTCACGGTTGACAATAATCGCGGGTGATGGACGGTAGTCACATGCGATAGTAATCACTGTCAATAGTAGTCGTGTGTGGAGGTAGTCGCGGGTGACGGACGGTAGTCACAGGTCAAGAACGGTGAGTCACGTACGACGGTGACATTCAATTGCGGGCGATAATCACAAGCAACACATGGTGGGCTAACTAGACAGTAATTCTTTCTCTCAAATTTCATCCGAATATTGCGTTGTCATCTCTATTTATCGCATTTGAAAGTCATGGATAGTCAAAGTGAGAAGCTACCTTGAAATTTCCGTTTGGCGAATATTGAACCATGCGGATTTGAACATTATGAACAAACAAATTTTTTTGTTATTGGCTACGGAAGATAGCGGTGCAGATTTGAATTTACATGGATATGAAAATGTGGTGAAGAATGTTATTGACGACTTTTTTTGCAAGAATTCACAATTAACACCTTGGTCAGATATGCCCACATGTGTGAAGAAGGAAGATGTAGGAATATCACAGGAAGTTGAGACATAAACTTGTAGTATTTGCCAAGATATTATTCTTGTCCACGGCGAAGATAGATCAATCACAAAACTTGCATGTTGGCATTGGTTCCATTTTGATTGTATTGCTTTAGCTTTCATGACAAAGGGTGCAATGTAGTGTTCCAATTGCAGGCGTGTAGAGAAGGGGCGTTGGTTTGATGCCAACAAATAATGGTTGGGATGATAATCCACATGTCAAAGAATCTGAATATATGAGGACTAGATTCTATGTTTTGGCAAAAGTAAGCTATAATCTTTGAAAAGCTGTGACGTTATTTGTCACTAGAGATGTTTCTTTCAATGAGGCCTAGATCATTGAAAGAGGGAGAGTTCTAAGGCTTTTCGTCATGACAATAGTTAATTTTTGCTCACGGATATGGTTGTGGGGGAGTGTGATCATTATGTGATTAATGATCAAGAGGAAACACCTATAATGGTGAAAATTTTGAGCACATGATTGAATTAGTCAAGATTGACGATATGCTCTCGTGATTGAATTAGTCAAGACTGACGGTAAACTCAAGCGATAGGTTGATCAAAGTTATTATTTTGGAGATTTCAGGCGACACTGTGATACTATGCAATTTCTACATGAGGATGTACATGAAAAGTTTGCTAGCATGGTATCTACTTTATTTCTTTATATAATTACTCTATTTTGTGATGGCTACGGCTTACTTTAGTTAACTCGCATTTAAAGAGGGGCCTTGTGTTAGGTTTCTTTCTAAAACTTTTCGCGGAATATAACATAGTTATAGAGGATAATGTCTCCTTAACACAAGTTAAGGGGAAGATCATTGAGGTTAACTCTTGTTAAGAAGTAATCTTATGTTTAGCTATTTATAGCTAAGATTGGTCGTCAGTGTTGGGTACATATATACAGAGTCTGTGTATTACTAGACAGTATATACAGTATAATCACATGATTATTTTTCTCTGTGGACGTAGCCATAGAGGATGAACCACATTATTTTTTGTGTCTCGTGTTGATGGTTTTGTTTGAATCTCAAAATTTACATTAACAATTATGTAGATATCAAAGTTTCATTTATTATTTTAAAATGATTAGAAATCAATCTTTGATTTGAATAATATTTATTTTTTTTAGTTTTTTTTATGCCCAATATTCTTATAAAATATATTCAAAACATTTATTGAAATAAAAAATCTCAACCTTCATATCATTAATCTTCATGGTGTTTTATATGATTATGAAATATAAAATGAGACAAAATAGTGATATAAAAACTCATTGAAAAAGCCAAAATTAAATAATAAAAAAGTTTATAATATTATACTTTTTAATAAAAAATAACTTGTATAAAAATGTTGGAATTGTAATAAATGACTATATAGAAAATAAATGACTGTAGAATTACAATGAGTATTAGCTAAAAAAAATGTCAACTTGTAGATAATTGAGATGAAAATACAGGTTTTAATTGACAAAGGATGAGAATAATGTGTGAAACAAAAACAAGAAGCTATTATAAATAAAGTGGACAAGCATAACATAATAATTTTTTTGAATCATAAAGATTTTTTTTCTCAGATTTGAGTAAATGAAGAAGAATATTAAAAAAATTTTGAGGATAAAAAATCTTCATTAAAAAAAATAACTTATCCAAGATCTGAAAAAGTCGAAATTTTTTAATTAAAAAATTTAAATTTAAATTCAAAATTTTTAGTTAAGGTAAGATGTAATACTATTGTGTTGAATGATTGAGAAAGCAATGTGAAAATCTTCTACTATCTAATGTGTGTGTAAAATGTTTAAAGCTTAGTGTTTGTGTTGATATTAGTTTAAATCCTGATTGAGTTGATTTTGAATGCAAATTCATAGTTGTGAGTTAAAATCAATTTGAAATCACAAGATTGCAATTGATTGTTAAATTTGGAAATAAAATTCAAATGATTGCAAGAGTATTTTGAGTAATCTAGATTTTAATATTGGTTGAAATTAATAACTAATTGGATCAAACTTGAAATCAATTAATAATTGGAAAATGATACAAAGTCATAAGCATAAAATTGTATGAAAGTTAGTAAAATAGCAATTGTTTTTTCCTGCAAAAGGTTTTCATCAATAAACTTTGCTCACAGATTAAATTTCGTAATGAATATGAATTCAAAACCAAACTTCAGATGTATTAGTTTATGTATTTAAGGCCTAAACCTAAATATTTAACAGGTTCCTTCATAGCTAGATCATGAGCCAAGAGTATGTATTAAGTTTTGAAAAGATGTCATAAACATGATTTTGCAGTCATTGAAAGACGCTATGAGCAAGTCTTTCAATCATCAAGTTGCTGTCACCATCGACTGTTTTCGCATTTGGACGATGTATTTTTACACACTATTCGCGTATTCTATATGCCTTGTGCCAAAGGAGAAAGTGCATCCTTGGATGTTCCTTGTACATTGTGCTTCGCATACTCAAGGTAACCAAAATCCATTCATTTCCAAAGTAATCGTTGTGGATAGCTGCAACCACTCCATTGAAACGTATCTGGAAAAATAATAACTGCCATTGTTGTAGTCTGTTCGCTTGATTGGAAGGAAAGGTTCTTTGGACGAATTGGACTCAAGGGCGAGAACAGTTACTCTAGCTTGCACTTTGAAGATGTGCACATAGAGCAATTTCCCTAAATAAAGAAGCAAAAAAACGCTGACAAATGCACGCTTCAATTGAAAGTGGAAGTAAACTTGTTTCAAGTCCGATTGAGTGGACGACGAAGACAGACTTGATTGTGAAAAGAAACGGCGAGGTTTTGTCGTTCTAACCGAGTCCCGGTCAGGATGTGATGAACTCGAGTGTCATGGAGTTTTGTTGTTCTCTATCCAGAGACCAGGTGAACTGGGTGGCCAACTAAACTACAAATAAAACTGAACCTCCGGTTGCAGAAAGCTCTTTGGTCTTCAATTTTCACTGATCTCCTCCAAACACGCCAAAAGTGAGAGCTCAGGTCAGTGAAGCACAACGAGTACAAGATGTGCTAAGCTAGAATCACGATGTTAACTTTCTCGCACAAATTGCCGTAGCAGCAGATCCAGCTATGGGTCCCACTGAAAGGTCGGGGTTTGGAACGAGGATTAGAGTGCGATCGAAGTGGGATAGAGAAACGAAAGTATTCGCAAACTGAGAGAGACCAAGCCGCGTACAGAATCCAGCTTGAAATGTGAGCACAGATGAGCAGAAGAGCTGTATACATTTGTCGCTACTCCAAAACATGATCTTTGACCACGAGATTCGTGGGTGGTCAAGAAGTGGAATGCTCCTGACGCAACCACACACAGACATCAAAACACTGTGATATGAGACAAGACGCCATGCTCATTCATTTCTAGCATTACAGACCAGATGGATGCATCTGACTCGAGCTATCCATCTTGTAATGTTGGGGTTGACGTTCATCTTCAGTCAAGCTCTCTGTCACCGAAGGATCTGGAAACACGCAGGAAGGTACTGACTTGTGAACAAATAAGCCCGGAAGACCCTCAGGAGAAAAATCTGGTGATGGAGGAGGACCGGTACGCGACTAAGTGAACAACAACTGTCAAATAGCCACATTCACTATCAATCACGTTTGCTCAAATTTACACTTTCAGTAATGCCCACTGTTCATGCTTCATCAGATCGCGCAGACCCAACGCTTCATTGTTCAAAATCTGTATCTGACGGCAGCGAGTGGAGACCCGCTCGCTCAACGTGGGGACCTGACCAGAAGGAACAAGTACTACACACTAGCATCAAGGCCTGTCATTCCTGGGCATGAAAGCAGCCTCTTATGGCGGCAATGGTATCGGGAAACTGTACTCATCTATGCCAAATTAGCATTGGGGGTTGACATCTCTATGTGACAGAATTCCATGTATAAAAGGCAGTCGTACCTAGCGTGGACAGATAATACCTTCGCTCTTTACCTCTTTAGCAGAGGCATCTTGAGGGATAGACTGGTCAGAGATCAAATTTGGATCGCGACTGCAACCGCCATCCGGTTGAGATTGATCCTCCTACATAAAACTGCTTTGCAGACTGATCGACCTTTCTCTCTCATCACGTGCAGACCTGGTAAGTATCTTATGGCTTTTGTGCTGATTCACGCCGAACGTTGACTAGATCTTCGATTTTGTTTACATTATCTTCCTAGCACATGCCTTGCCACTTGCTTCAACATTCTCTTTAGTGGCTTGCGGATATCTGGGTAAGTCCGAAGTTCTGAAGTTCTTGATGTTAGTAGATTCATATCCTGCTGATTCGGGATATTATCCTGGTGGTTAAGCTGGACACTGTCGTTTGCATGTTAATGCACTAGCATCGATTATTCAATTGCAGCTGTCGACTAGATCGAACGATTTGTGCGTAGATCTACTTAGGCATATGAAGTTTGATCTTGCGGTTTTGTTATTTATGGAAACACGATATCAGCACTAAAACTTGTGAATGTGATGATTCAGTGCTGAAGACAAAAGTTGAAAGATCGACGGACTCCTTCACGATGGGGTCAAAACTTGTAGCCTCGTTTTTAGTCTTTTCTGTGCTGGCAACTGTAGCCTATGCACAACTGAGTGAAACCTTTTACGAATCCAGCTGCCCAGGTGGGCCAGCCAAGGTTGCAGAAGTAGTTACATCGTCGATTGTCAGGGACAGGACTTTAGCAGCATCTCTTCTGCGATTGCACTTTCACGATTGCTTCGTTCGGGTACGTTGTCTTCAATCGTAATGAATTGTCCCTTGGATTACAACAGAGCTGGTGTTTTCGTGATCAAGGCCAATTAAGGCTACTGCAAATTGATCTGACCACTGTTTGACCTGCGTCTTGTTGAACACCGATAGAACATCCACTGCATATCGAGCAAGCACAAATTTAATCAGATTGGATCCAGTATAAAAGTACTCGAAAACGCGCGTGGTCTAAAATATCAGAATTTTGTTGATCGGCCATATAGCCGAAAGCTCTTGAAAAAATTGTACATGCAGTGGATTCTTTTCATCTCTGGTATTTCAAGGCGTCATGGGGCTTCGATATGAAGCCACGCAATGTCGTTAACTCTTGATTGTATCTACAGGGATGTGATGCTTCTGTACTTCTGGATGGGCCGAACGGTGAGAAGGAAGCTTTTGGAAACAAGAATTCTCTTCGAGGATTTGAGGTCATTGATGACATAAAAAGACAAGTCGAAGCTCTTTGTCCCGGAGTTGTTTCTTGCGCAGACATCGTGGCTCTGGCTGCAAGAGATGCCGTAGTGGCGGTAAGATACGACACATCAAATCGTGAAAGCTTTTGCTGTTTATGATAAGAATATAAGGCCTGATAAAATTGTGGAGAAGGATCTAAGCAGGATGGTAGGCAGACCAAGTAAGGCTGTGCTGCGCCTGTGTAAATCTGGGTTGATTTAAATCTTTGCTGCAAAACATGCCTCTGAGGATATATTTTTCGCATGGACAATACACGCGCTGCTGGAGATTGCCGGCGAGTGCTGAACATTAGTTCGTGACTTGCTTGCAGATTAGAGGCACCAACTGGTCCGTTCCCTTGGGACGACGAGATGGAGTTGTGGGATCTGCAGCTGAAGCCAACAACGACTTACCACCACCATTCGCCGACTTCAGCATGTTATCCGCTATGTTTTCAAGGAAAGGACTGAACACTAGAGATTTGGTGGTTCTCTCAGGTAACATATGCCATTCCCTTCCACCGTACAAGTTCAGATTCCAACTGTGATTCCTACTTAGTAAAGTGGAACCTTCTGCAAATTCTAGCTCAGATATGATATTCATAAGGCAATCACTAGACCTGTCTCACGAAAGCTGGGTTGTGCAGGCTCCCACACAATTGGATTTGTTTCGTGCGCCACCATGCAGACTCGTCTCTACAACTTTTCATCAACATCTGCGACTGACCCAACGCTGGATCCGAACTTTGCGAACACCTTGAAGAGACAGTGCAGGGTTGGAGACACCACCACCAAAATTAAAATGGACCAGACCAAGTTTGTTGACACCTGGGACTTCAATTTTTACTCCAATGTTCTTCGCGGAAAGGCGCTATTGCAATCAGACGACGCTCTCAAGAGAAACTCCAACAGCTTGAAGATTGTTCAGCAGATGAACAGAGCAGGGTCTCCATTCAACGCAGAATTTGGACGAGCCATGATCAAGATGGGGCAGGTAGATGTACTCACAGGCTCTTCGGGTGAGATTAGAAGGAGGTGCAACGCCATCAACTAAATTTCGACGTTATCATGAAAATCAGTCTGCAAGACAATACTTCCGCAAGCATGTTGGAGTACGAGCAGCTTATAGCTTTTGAGTGACATCCAGTAGGCGAAGATAATCATGTTCGCATCTAGAATATTCTCTAGATTTAAGCATGCAATTGCATTGCGAAGAGCCAATAACCTTCGCGTTGACTCTAGCCATTGATTAAAGGGGCTCTCACTATACATACATTTTTTCTCTCTTGTTGATAGAGAACAATAGGATCAGACAGTAATGAAACTGGGTTCGATTGAGCAATAGAAAATCAATAAAACCCTCTAGCTAGACTAGCTAGAGACATAAAACATCTACCGTGTAACTTCTTTTTCACGGTGAGCAAAACTTGAAGCCACAATTAATAAAATAACCAGGAGAATAATCTGGTAAAAGCATTCATAGGATCTGATATCCTGCAGCTCTCAGAATTCACTGCATAGAGCAGGCAAGTAGTGAAACTTATGCATCCCACTATTTATGCGAGTTTCCGACATCCGTTCTAATGCCAGCGGTTGTTTCCGCATCTGAACGGGCGATTTCTGGGTTACAGAAGGCAATCTAAAGATCACATGATTTCAAGTTTATCTTATAGATGTCCACCTCAGATTTCATGTATATGCCCTCGGAACAACAACTATTTGATGTCCGTATAAGAAGGGAACTGATCTGGACTGAAAGCTTTTCATGCACATCGACGAGGTAGAGTAGAATCCCGACAAGTATTTTATCATGGCACTCGTCACCGAGCATTGCTTGCAATGCATGACCAGTCATGCTATACATGCTACGAGTCACGTCGAAAAGTCTACGCGACTGCTGGTAATGGATTCCAGGGCTAAGTTATTGTATAGCTACCAGGGTGATGCTGTAAAGCTGCTTCTGAGAACTAGGTCTAGTTCTTGTTCTGGGTGTTTTCCAGCTCCCAAATTGCATAGCAACAACTCAAAGAGGAGACATTTTGTCCGTCAAAGTGTTGATGTTTCTTGCGTGCAACACGTGGTTGCAGTTAAAGTGGTTTGACTTCATGACTTCCAGTAGCAACAGTTATTAGTCGAGATATTAGTCAGACGCTCAATTATATAAAAGGCTCAATCTTTGGGACTGGCTCTCATATGCACTAATCTCTGTCAATCTTCACGCTGACTTAGATCCATCTGTATATCCAGCCCGAAGATCGACGGACTCTATAATTCGACAAAGGCAGTCCTGCATCAGATTTTTTTTAAAGACGTTAAAGTTCAAGATCCAGACTGCGAATTTCTAACGAATCGGAATTCAACAAACTAGATACATGATGCTGAGGTGTGAACACAAGTCTTTATTCTTCTTTTTCAATCCGCTGAAAACCCTGCGGCAGCAGAGCATTGTTCAGTTAAGTGTTTGGAATATTTTGAGCAGGGTTCATAGCCAAAGTAACGACGATGGCAAGGGAGGAAAAATAATCTTCCCTTTCTGTCAAACCTAGTAGAAGTTTTGTCTTCCTGAAAATCACTAATTCATTCTCTATTTAACCCGCACGCGGACTCTGTGACAGAGTTATGAAGGATGGATTCTCTTCCTGTACAAGTGGATAGTCTGGACTCTGATTATATAATAAGATTACTATTCTGCGTTCAAAGTGGGCAAATTGACGGAATATTATCATCCGTGAGTATCAAGACAGCTGTCCACGAAATGAGCATCCTAAATCCTCTGAAGGAGCAAATTAGGACGACATGAGATTGGGCTCCTCATCTTTGAGTGAAACTCACATCCTGGATGTTCATGCTCGATGAGCGAACTGTCATGTTCGGCAACTGGATTTGGATATCGATTGTTGGTGTAGAGGTCTAGATCCTTAATTTCCAGACTGTAAAAATCATCATAAGCTGTGGGACTCTGCAGAAGGTTCTCTTTTGTGTCTTAATATCATAACCTTCTTACGGGGATTCTACGAAATTTGACGAATCTGCTTCCCAGACTTGTGTAATAAACGAAAACTGTGACTCAGTTCTTCACTCGGACAATAAATTCAAATCAATCCGATAATGAGTGCCATGAAACAGGCTTCTATGGTTTGAACAGTGTTGAACAATATACACGCTCCTGAGCGCCTTCAGATGAGAAATGTGCATATTATGCGTTGTCTTTGCTTTCGCTCAGAGCATAGTGGAGAGTCAGCTTCTCATTGCGGGTGTCCTCTGACAAGAATGATGACTAGAACTTTAGATCCGTGTCCTAATCGTAAGATGTACCCAACTCTTCTGAATTGCGAGGCTTACAGTATTGACATGCGCAGGGCCGGAGCTCAATGGGAGACTACACATCATTGGAAATTGAAATCATTGCATGTGGATATGGTCTAGTCACTCTGAAACTTTTCTCCTTTTCAAGTTGAAGCTTGTGGACGACACACTCCACAATTTGAAGACGTTGAATACCCATAAGCAAGACGAAACATGCGACTGAGACATTCCACAAGAGATCACAGAATGTCTCGGTCCCCATGCCTTCCACGCGATGTGAAGCGCAAACATGAATATGCAGCACTGTGTAATCATTGAAGAAAAAGTGCCCAGCAACTACGCAGCAGGCCAGGAGCACGGGACTCCACAAGCACTATGCTTAAGGCGACACGGTCAAGGCTGCGTGCTCCTTGACTGCTGGTACACCGCCGAACTAACACCCCGAAGCCCATCTGTACACAGGAACGAACAATGTGAGCAGCAGGAGGGAGGGAGGCAAGGAGGGAGGGAGGTCGGGAAGCAACGCGGTGAACCTCAGCAGGACCCACCCGATCTCTAAAAAGGTCGTCACCTCTAGCACACGACCTCCCTCGATCTGCAGGTCTCTCGAGAAGTGTTCCATCGCAGCCTTTCACAGGGAGCTAAATTTGGAGTTTGTCATCGGACGGTGAATCGGATTTAGAACTTAAAGAGACGAGGCGCTGTCAGGTCTGCTCACGCTGATGATGTCCTTCCTGAACCGATGGTGTCGGAGCATCGTAGCTACAGCCAACTCAGAGTTCGCTACAGAAAACCAAGAGGCATGCAAAGAACTCGTCCATTCTCTCAGCATCTGGCATCTCCATGCGCAGTTTGGTACATTCTGCGACCGAATTGTTCAAATTGCTGATACCTTCACCTTCATCTTCTTCTCTTCAAAGTCCTTTATTCCTCTCACGTGCTCAATTGCCCAATTGCCACTAGTGCAAGTCACACAGTGAAATCGCAATCTTGAGATCCTGATGTTCTTTGTGAAGGCTGGATCGAGATCCACACGACTGCATGTCGAATTGCTTCTCTCGCACGTTCCTTGCGAGAAACTAGTCTTTACTCCGCAGCTAACCAGGCATCTTCTGACGTTCCTCCAGTTCGAACTGAAGGAGACCTGCACGTAGACGATTCAGAACGGCCTGCAGTATTTCCCGTCAGTTATCTGTAACTGTTCCCGTCGATCGGATGGAAGCTTTGAAGAATAAGCCGAAGAATATTTACGGGTTTCGTCCAGCTTATGGTCAACTCTCTAACTGAGCCCTTCTATGCCGCCAACTGCCCTCAAGGCCCCGCCGAGGTGTTCGAGGGGGTCCATTGTTGGGTGCAGGGCGACAGGTCCCTCGCCCCATCTCTCCCAAGGTTCAACTTCCATACGCCCATCTCGATCCTTATATCAACATCACATCCCATAATGAGAACCCGACCTTCGTTCTCGAGGTTCGATGGAGGATGATCCAGGCTCCTTACAGGCCATACAGATATAGATTCGGAGCGCCGATCATGTCTTTGTGTCATGGCTCAGTTCACTTCAGAGCACTGAGCCATGCATCTGTTCTTTTCGACTCGATGAATGGCGTACCTGGCGAGAAGGAGGGCAAGGGCAGCATGCGCTCTCTCGGGGCATTTGAGGTCATCGACGACATGAAGAGGCAGTTCGAAGCCTTGTGCCCAGGTCTCGTTGCCTGCGCCGACATTCTTGCTCTGGCTGCCCGAGACGCCATCGTAGTGGTAAGTTGGTCTTGGTAACTCAGGAAGACTATGTCGAACTCGGATATCTGGTGATGACGAGATGCAATGAGAACAAAACTTCTCGAGTCTCCTGCAATGTTGGATTGCGTGAAGAATATGTTTTCAGCTGAAATACCACTTGGACACAGATCCATTTGTTACGAGCATATACGAACTGTTCTAGTTCGATGTTGTTCTACCTTGAAGAGCCCCGGTGCGTCGTGATTGCAGATGGGAGGAGGAGCGATCCCGGGGGTTGCTCGAGGTCGACGCGACGGAGTGCAGTTTTTGGCATCGGAGGCCAACACCGACCTTCCACCTCCACTTCCCGACTACGATAGCGTCGTCAGCATGCTGGCCGAGAAGGGCCTCAACGCCAGGGACATGGATTTGCTGTCAGGTGAATCCACACGATACTTCACTAGGCCCACAGAGACAACTATGACATAGAGCTTCGTATCAGAAGTGAAGTGCACATTCCTTACACAGTCTTATAAGAATCTCTTGCCTGGATTGCATGCTCCATTCTTCCTGCCCTTACGGAAGTAGTGAGTGACTAGGGGCAAGACTTCCGGGAGCATAAATATCTGACTCCAGGAGTTGGGCAATTCAGGTTCGCACACAGTCGAAAAAGAAAATTGCGCGGTCATGCAAAGTGGACTTGACAGCCACGGACCCGAGATCGCACCCCGTTTTTGCTGAATCATTGAAGAAGCAGTGCGAGCCGGGAGACTTCAGCACAGAAATTCTGATGGCTCAAAGCAAGCGGGCTGATTCTTGGGACTACAACTAAATTTCCGATTTATTCTGAGGCACGCTCTGTTCGGATCTGACGATGCGTTGAAGAGTTGAAGAGATATTCCGCTGGCCTCAAGGTCGTACGAACCATGAACAGAGTAGGAAGTCCTTTGAACAGGGAGTCTGGAAACTCTGTGATCAAGATGGGACGAGCCTACTTCCTCACTGGTATCCTCACTCAAGGCGATATCAGGATGAAAATACAAACTTTAGGAAGCAGTGGTCCACATCGATCGACCGATCAGTCCTTCCTGACTCATAATGTTATAGGTAGGTACGAATTCTGACCTCATTTAAGAACCCATAGAAGCATACATCTGTCAGCCATATCTCTAGGGTTCCATTACAGATTCAAACTTCAATTGTATTTCTTTTTCTAAGGGATTCACTAACTTCATCATCAGGCCTCATTTATCACACCCACACATTATATAATATCAACACACTAAAGAAGAACAGCATCTGCGAGAGATTGTTTAGCTCCAGTTTAGTAAGCTATCTTGTTATTAGCTCTAGAGTCAATAGCAGAGCTATTCAACATGGCCACAGAAGTTTCAGACCTCCTAATTGAGATGATTAGGCGTCCTTTTGGGCCGGTCCTACCGTAGGCCTTCAGCATAGCCACAGAAGTTTCAGACCTCCTGACTGGATGATCAGGCGTCCTTCTGGGCTGATCCTAGGCCTCAGTCTGCATGACAGTGCAAGGGTCTCGTCGAGATGTATGGAGATAAAAACGAACCAACGAACAATGAGAAGAAAACAGGTGGATTGTGTAATCATATGATTACTCCACCTCATTACTGAATCAATCGTTGCAATGCGTGAACATTGCAGGCGTTCATGAGTTTAACGTATTGTTGTACACAGAGTGAACAACATTGTTGCCTCATATTTGTGTAACATTTTGTAAGCAGCAGATGTAAGAATTGATAAATCGTGTAGTAAAGTGTCGAATCCCTTTTATATTAGCTCGTGTGATAGTCCAAGTCTTGTGATTCCTTTTGTCCTGCTTTGAATTTTCATTCTCTGGGGTATAAATTACACCAGCATGGTAATGGAAGAAATTCATGTCAACTCTCTCGAAGAATCTACTTCAAGATCAGAAATGTAACCAATAGAAGACACACACAAATCCTATCTTCGGATGGCGATGATTTCGTCAGGAAGGGCAAAAGCTTGGCTTCAGAAGCAAATTCCAAGAATTACCAAGAAGAGATTTCCCGCGAGACACTTCAATGTCCAAAGATCGATGTTGCGTTGAATTTGTGTTTGCGAGCTCAAATCCAGTAGTGCAGAATACCATTGATCTTTAGTACCTCAATCGAACTAGTTCCTTGTCCAAACCTACATGACCTCGTATGTTTGGTCCATGACTTCGGAGACTCTAGGTAAATGAGGCATAGCAGCGTGCCATTCACGTGCAGGAGTAGATTCTCTCACGAGGATAGATACAGCGAAGCTAAAATCTATCAATTTTGGCAGTTCCGACTTTTATATAACTTCAAGCCACAATCTGCTCTGACGCAGATTCTGGCCTGATTGATACTCACCTGTATTTATATCGCGAGAAGAAAATTGTTCCGTTAATCAAATCCGCAGTGATGAACACAGATCGTAAAAACATAACTAATCAAGAGCATCACAATTCAGCATCGCCCAGGACGGGTCACTAAAATCATGTACGCATACTACTGTGAATGAAAGATCACATGATTGGTGACCAAACTATCGTAAACTTGCGTTGAAATTAGATAAGATGAATGCCAACCTCTTTTCATGGGCTGAAACTTACGCGTCCAGATCAGTACACCCACTTCGTTGGGAGGGCAGTCTAGATTGATCAAGCTGTGTCGCCATGGTTTATCAAGGCTTTGTTGTGGGAATAAGCAACACAATGAGGGATGGATAAAATGTGGTTTCAGCTGTGGACAGCGGGAAGTATCATATCAATGGTTCTGCCTGTTGCATTCGACTAGTTGAGCAACTTGCGACCTTCGTTTCTGAAACAGAAGACAATGTAGTTGAGAGGGAGTTACACATTCTACTTGAGAGATCAAAGATGGATCAAAACAGCATCTGCACTGCAAAATCTACTGAAGCAAGAAACCAACGAGGGAAGCACAATCGTCATGCTCCTGAGTGCTAGAGCTTCAGAAGGTATCCATCGCATGCGTGTGTAGGTGGAATGATCAAAACAGCAGAAGAGGAATGTGAGTACTCGATGATTTGCAAGCTCACAAAGGCCGTCAACACGCTTAGACGCAGGGTCGCCGTCTCATACTCAGTTTCGCAATGGGCCTCATAGCCTGTGGCCAACTAGGAAGACGTCAAGCTCAAAGACACGATGGCATCAGCATACAGCATTAGCATTCGGCAGATATGGCTCTCGATCCAGGAACGTCTGGAGAACTGTAGAGCACTGGGAATCCTGTGCGGGTCCTACACACAGACAAACGCGTTGCATGTCAATTGCCCCCCGCCCCGAGCTACGAGAACAGTAGGAGAAGCGTTTGGAACAGGGCCCTTCCCGATGTAACAGTCCTTGGGCCAGAACGACCTCCCTGTTCCTCGCAAGAGAACCTCAGGTCAGCGTCCAACGATTGACTGGGTCTCAAGCCCATGACTCCACGTCCATCGTTGATATCATTCCTGTGACCTCCATTTCGTGACCTTCGACCTGATTTCGGAGGTCACTGTCTCCCACCTAAGTCGACCCTCACGCAAAAATGTGCTTTGGCCCAACAGAAATCGCTTTCTTGCTGCTTCGTCACGATAATGGCATAATTTGATACCACTATTTTATTTGAAACCAGACCATCAAGACCATTTACAAGGAATCTGGTTCCAACCATTCCTAGTGTGCGGAGAATAATTCTCACGCTGTCCCTCGGTCACAGCAACTAGCTCATCTGCTGTGGTCCGATTGAATACCATGTCTTACTAATTTGAATCGTCGTTAACTAGGAGTGAAAAGTTAATCATCGATGTCGGCAAACTTTGATAATATTATTTTACGTCAAACCAGAAGTGATATCCAGGTCCATCAAGGTCGAGCTTTCTCCCTATCCTAGTATGAGGAAAATAATACTCTCTCTTTCACGCACTCTCAGCAAGTTCGTTCACCGCGCCACACAAAAGAATTCCTCCACTGCGTATAACTAGAGCACGATACGACCTGGATCTGTGCAACTAACCGGATGTAAGATTAGCATCCGGGATTCCAGGGTGCAATGACGAGTATCTTCGTTCGAGTGCTCAGCTCCTTGTGTACTGTCCTCGTCGGATCCTCCCGATAATCGGGAGGTTTACAAATCTCCGTACATCGCACAATGGCTTTGCGTGAATGTTGTTTCTCGACTGTTCTCCAGGGTGCCGCCTCCCGGAGATTGTGCCAATAAGCATGCAACTTTTCATGGTTGGAGGGAATGTCGAAGACGACGAAACATTGTGGTTGACTTTCTCGTCTGCTGCTCGCTCCTACGAGGGGAGGGGCGCTGACTAGGCTTGCGATTTCTTCGAAGCTTCGCAGGCATTGTCGAGGAGAAAGTCAGCCATTATGGAGGTTGACTGAGATTTAGTCCAAGCTCAGATGCCAAAGCTAGAGCAAAGCCTTTGAAGGTGTGGGGTCGCTTCCGGAAGATCCTTGAGAAACCATCCAGATTTGCCTACAGCTCATCAAGATATCCCCCAAACGGAGAGACCCAGAGAAAGGCGGCAGGACGCACTTTGAGAAGCTGGCTTCGTTCTAGCTTTGAGCAGGCCGAGAAGTCTTGCCGGAACGGAATTTCTTCCACAGCCCTGGTTTAAGTGACGACCGCGAAGCTCAAGCAGGATTCTGTTCAGATGTATGTGGCTTGGATGGTCGATGAGAACCCTCCTCCGCACAAACAGTAGGACTGCTGCACGAAAGGAAGACACACGTAAGCATGTCGACCCGTTTTCCAGGATCGCAGGTGAATGACAGCATGATACCTTCACCAGGATGGCCAGCAGCATCCATCAAAAAGCACCAGGTCCGAATGGTCCCGTACTAGCCCATGTGGGTTCGTTTATGGGTCCAAGCGTTCCTACAGTAAAAGCACCAAGCAATTATACCCTTCGAGCTCAGCCCCGTCGGAGTAGATTCCGCTCTCGCGTACAAACTGACGAGAATTTGTCGCCGCCGAGAGGCTGGTGTAGCTAGGATTTGCTACATCGTGACTGCGCTGTGGTTTGCTGGGCAGAAGGATTTTAACTCGTCCCCGCACAAGACCGAGACTGGAGCTGGAAACTCGGCTATATTTAATGTCTGTGCTTGCACTCGCTGGATACAGCCTACCCGAGTCAGATCCGCAAAACTGAAAGCATGATGACGAGAGCTCGGAGAAAGTGCATGGCGGCTATTGCTCGACAGTGTCTACGTCGAAGTCCGATTCAGGTGTAAGAAGGAGCTGACTGTTCAGAGATGAGCTCTCATTGGGACTAGCCTTTCGGAGGACGAAGATCTTGCCTTGAACCTAATGTCTATGGTTGTAAGCTTCGCCTTCAAGTCCTCAGACAGAGTCCATCCAGTTCGACCTACAGCCCCGCTCTGGACTGCGTACGAGGTGAAAAGTGGACAGAAAACTACAGTCTGCGAGAGGGAGGGGCTTCGAGCGAGTTTCAGCTGACGTTATCATCTGCTAGTAGACGTGAAGCACGTTTTGAATTCGGATGAATCCGTGTCCAGCGACCGGGGAATATTCTGAAGTATGAAGGCATTTTTAGATCGAGAATGTTCCTCCACAAAGGAGAAGAGAAGCGAGTGCATGCTGATACAGAAGCCGTAAATAATTCTTATTAGAGCTCATTATACTGAGAGTACTGAATACATTGGCAAACCACTAATTTGCTAGCAAAATACTCGTGAACATGACACAGGCCGTGGATTCAAGAGCGTCATACAGTCATAAAGTCATTCTCAGTTCCAATCCTCCTGAAATCTCTCAATCCTCTAAGTAGGACCACCAACAACGACAGTCAAAGGATTGCCTTGAACATATTCTCGCTCCGCTCAAGGGGTCCTAATTCGGTTCCTGACGTAAGGATTTGTCTCCGAAAACAGCTCTGCATAAGAACGAACAGTGGTCATAACCTACAGGGATTGTTGCGCATGTGCCAAACCATGAACCATGATCCGTTTCTTCACCTACATCCGACTCCGGAGAACTGCGAAGGACGCAGATATTTGTCGCATGATGCACGAGGAAGGGCTAGAATGAGCGACGCGGCCGTCAGATTCCCTGACTTCAAGCACTATTTTGCCGCACAGTCACGGATCTCAACTCGCTGCTAGCGTTGCAATGTCGACACAGCGCGCCTCGGACTGAAAGTTCTATCCGAAGGAATCCCGTGTTGGTCATGGTTGATGCGTTTCTGCGTCGTTTGAGAACATGTAACAATCCCTGAAACCGGCGACGATCAAGGAGAATTTGATGGCAAATTCAAATTCAAAGAAGCTTTTGCAGCTCCAAGAATCAGCTGAATGGACATGTTATAAAGGCCTCGATTGTCAAAGGAAGTATCATTCTCCAGGTCTCTTGTCTCTCAGCATAAGCCTGAGATCATTTGATCTGGAATCCTTCTACTCTTTTTTCAATCTACCTCTCCCAGGTGAGCGCTAATGGTTCTGACTTCTATCTGTCTCTGATGATCTAATTGAAGCTGAGGATTTATTGATCAGAGGAAGTATGTTCTTGAAGCAAGTGAAGCATATGACCATATTGTTCTGATTTCAATTGCCATGCAAATGGCATGCTGATTCTTCTGACAGAAACCACCAGCCAGCGTACAAGTTCTCACTTTTGAACCAGCAAGATGGCGATGACTGGCTCCAAATTGATCATGAGTATACTCATAGCATTAGCTGTGGTGGCAGCGGTTGACGCTCAACTGTCTGAATCTTTCTACGCAGCTAAGTGCCCGAAAGGTCCTGCCAAGGTTGCCGAAGTTATCAAGAGTTGGGTAGCCAGGGACAGGACTTTGGCACCAGCACTCCTCCGACTGCACTTCCATGACTGCTTCGTCCGGGTAATATGATAATTGATAATAAGGATTGATTATGGATCCACGGAATCTTCATTGCCGATACTATTTCTTTTAAAATTCCCACAGCAATGTGTCACCTCAAGATGGAGGAATCATTCCAAACCGTAGTTCTTGATCAAATCTTCGGATATGTAGAATTCCAGTATCTTCAGCTTTAGATTCTGAACTGGAACCATAAAGTGTTAGCGAGACAGAAGTCCACTTTATTGACCATCCCAAAACAGATGCCACCATCAGTCAAGTCCAGTCAAGCAGTTTGAATTCTCGAATCTCGAGCGCCTAGCAGACCATTATCTTGTGGGAGTATTGTGGACTGCTTCAAATAATAACGCATCGTGTCCGCAGGGATGTGATGGCTCTGTGCTTCTCGATGGTCCCAAGAGCGAGAAGAATGCAGGAGGAAACAAGGGTTCACTTCGTGGATTTGATGTGATCGACGATGTGAAGGCTAAAGTCGAAGCTTTGTGCCCTGGCGTGGTGTCTTGCTCTGATATCCTTGCCCTTGCTGCCCGTGATGCTATCGTTGCGGTAAGCATACAAATGTGAAGTTCCTGTATATCTAGTCCACCACTGCCTCAAACTGACTTTGAAAAGTGGTATGATTCTGAGTAAACGCATGCGCATGTGTGCAGATGGGAGGAACCAATTGGACCGTTCCTCTTGGTCGACGAGACGGAGTCCTCTCTATTCAGTCTGAAGCTGACGCAGATTTGCCATCTCCATTCGCATCCTTTGCTGCCTTGTCCAGCAGCTTTGCCAAGAAAGGTCTCAACACTAAGGACCTAGTGGTGCTTTCCGGTAAGAAGGTCCTCATTAACGAGTCGGAAAACGGAATTGTAGCCCAAGGATGTCTTATTAATGCGCTAAGACTCAGCAATCACGTCGATGCATAGCAAGATCTGAATGAGGTCCGCAAGCACGGCACGTCAAGAGGTGGATCCGAGTGTCTCAAGCGATTGTTTCGAATTGAAATCTGATGAACTTGCATTTTTTTGGTATCAGGTTCACACACTGTTGGACTTGCACAGTGCGCAGTCATGCAGACTCGTCTGTACAACTTTTCAACCACAGTGAAAACGGACCCAGCTTTGGAACCTAGCTTTGCCGCTGCGTTGAAGAGGCAGTGCAAGCAAGGTGATCTGACCAAAAAGATCAAGATGGACCAGACGAAAGCAGTTGACTCCTGGGATGCTAATTACTACTCGAATGTCGTCAGAGGAAAGTCTTTGTTCACATCCGATGATCAGCTGAAGAGAAACTCCGCAAGTTTGAAAATCGTGCAACAGATGAACAGGGCCCCATCTCCTTTCAATACTGAATTTGGAGCTGCTATGGTTAAGATGGGAAGGATTGGCGTGCTTACCGGCACCAGTGGTCAGATTCGTAAGAAGTGTAACGTCAAGAATTAGATTTTTGCAGATATAAGACTTTTCACCTAATTAATTTGGAACTTTTCATGCGCTTAAGTCCGAGTAGATTGATAGCTCTCGATACCTAGCAACAGATAGAGGTAGAGGTTAAATTCGTTCACAACAAACAGGTTACAATCGAGTCATCTGGCTAGAGATTGTTTCTGTTAGCCACCTTAATTTCACAGCTTTAGATTCTACTAGCCCTGATTTGAAACTTCTGTTCTCAGATACATAGTAGTAACCTGCATATTGAAATACAGAGGCACTATGATCCGATAAGTGTACTCCAGGCTCTCTTCTGGAAACACATCTGAACCTGACTGAGGCCTTGGAAGAGCTAAGTCAGCTATGAAAAATTAGCTCACTAAGTGGCTGTCATTCTTTGCGGTGCTTTTCATTCAAAGCATCTGCTAAAGCTTCCGGTGTTTGCTCAGCCGGAAGCAGCTGAATAAAACAACAAAAGTTCAGCTTATGAAGACGAAGGGTGCAATTTTTTGAAGCGTTCCGAAGGCAAATAATTTCTCCAAGCCTGTCTATGGGAACCTCTCGAGTCCCCACCGTTGCATGAGCAGAATGAAGAGAACAAATCATTGTAGAACCGGTCCTGGAGAGAAGCTCATGTGCCAACCGAGCCAGCATCATGCTGAGCTCTTGAGCTGACGGAGGAATAGACAATGCAAAGAAGCTTCGCGTCTCGCGAGTTCGAATGCCAAGTTTGTGCCTTGGTTTGACAGTCGGCGTGGATAGCATTATCTCTTCTTTCAGGCCAACAGGAGTCACTGCTCGGTGGAAACAGGTGATGAGACAAGTCTTCCCTACATGTCAAACATTTGGGAATGATCTCGTAAGAACTTGTGATGCGATATTTTGTCGGAGATTTCGGCGGGCCCTCAAACATTGTTTCCCGAAGAACGCTGCTCATTCACTGGAAGATTCAATGACACTCTCATGTAATCAAGGTCCAGAAACTTCAATTTATTCAAATTTGAGCTCAGCTAGGCTATCCTGAGACACAATACATCCTTAGGGTTAAGTCAAATCTGCATTTACTTCACTGCGCAGCACCGGGTTTGTTTGTAAGCCCAATTTGTGACATCGGCAAGAACTTTGAGGCTTTTGAACAATTGTCTCAGCAGCCAGAGAATTCTATCACATTGGAGTCAATTCCATGATGTTTCACGAGTGGGGAAACAGATCGGGGCACACATGAAGAAAATTGACAGCATACTTTCCAAGAAAACAGCAATCCGATCTTCATTGAACGAATTGCAGAGTTATCAATCAAGGTTACCATTTGGTAATCTCCAGGAGTCTGAAAATATTTGTCACCCAAGGTGCACGTCATTTCCTCATGCAGCAACAGCCTGAGTATGTTGGCCATAAAATAATCCGAAAGGACACTCGAAATTGGTCTATTGAGATTTCCAATATCGGTTTAATACTGGTCTTCCAATAATAAGATGTTGTCTTGAACTTTTGTGCTCGCACTTTAGCTGACACAGCACATGACGACTCCGAGCCTTCATTTAATAAAAAAGTACACTGTCCAAGCCCTTCAGTCGTACTCAATTATCGACCATTTTAATACTAACCTGGCAAAATGGCAGAATATTGCGACTCCGCCCCCATCTGATCCAAAAGCACAGCATCCAAACGCTGAAGTAATTTTTGAGTTAGTGAAGAGATCATAATGATTCTCTTAAGTAAGCATTAATTATGCTGAGCTCATCACTTTTATGTCCAGAAACTGACAGAGGAGAGCTGTTGTGAATATATTAAAAATGAAAGAGCACGCATCGGATGAAGAGGAAATTCTTATGCTCTTGTTATGATCACCGTAGTTAAAAGCAAGACAACTTCATATCAGTGTCGAAGCCCTGCCCACTATACTCTAGCAAGACAGAGCAGATCACTGAGCTGAAATCTAGAGTTGATGTTACTAAATGATCTGATTTCAGCCCGCTCCAAAAATTAGAGCCAATCGATTGTGTCAAACGTTCCTCCATGACAATACCTCCCGCGATCTTGCGAAGCTAAGCTTCACTACAGTAACTGCATGCGCATTTGACAGCTATATGTTGCGAGAAGTGAAATAAAATATTGGAATGTTCTCACTCCATGCTCAGTAAGATTCTTAAATCCACTCCTTAATCTTCAAGTTGCATCACTAGCTCCAAATAAAACAGAATTCCAAGGGCATGTTCTTCAATATCTACCTCGTAGCACCATCAACACGCAGGGCTCACTTCATGACTTCGTGCGCGTGGGACAAATATGTATGGGTGGAATATGATGGTTAGAAGATCTCCCAACTGTATCGGGAAGTCAATTACTGAACAATGAAGGCAACTCAGTCAAGATGAGTCAAATCCTCGCAACTGTAATTTTCAATTTTAGAATATACAGGAAGCACGAGCTCGCCTCACGGTGAGCACGTACTAGCGGATACAGCTGCGAGAATTTTATGGCCACGTAAGGCGCTGTGGACCTGGAGGTAATGAACTTCATGTCGAGACACGCATAACTTCTCAGTCAATATAAAACCTGATTCAGCCAAAGATTCAGCCATTGTCATCAGATATCTTATCTAAGCTTGAGCGTAAGCTTAAGCATACGGTTGGAGAATCTGATCTCTCCCTACTCTGCAATTTATCCAGCCATTACGGTATTCACTGTCTTCTATCACATACTCTACGTCAAGCTCATGTCCTTTTCATTGGCGCCGTTCTGAGCCTATGACAGAATCTTTGCATGTGAATTTTTTCGCTTATTTCTTACTCAGTTTTCATTGAGAGCGTGGTCCATCAGAGTTGATTATTTGGACGTAATATTCATCGTCTTCTTTAAAGCATGGCTCATATCTTGATCGACTGTTGCAAAGAGTTGGACTTCATTTCTTACCATGACGATTATTCTTCACTTTCTTGAGCGTCAATACCCGACCATATAATCACGAAGTATGAAAAGAAAATCCAGATTTCAGTTGTGCTTATGACATCAAGCATTTGGGTTACTTTGACGAGTTATTCCTTTGACTGCAGAAATAGTTCAGGCTCCAACAAGACTCCGAAATGAATTCCACCGGCTCGAAATGGCTGCTTAGCTTGTTGCTTCTGGCTGTCGTAGCAGCAGCAGACGCACAGCTATACGAATCATTCTACGCAGCCAAGTGTCCCCAGGGTCCCGCTAAGGTTGCTGAGGTCGTCAAGTCTTGGATTGCCAAAGACAGAACACTGGCACCAGCTCTTCTTCGACTGCACTTCCATGATTGCTTTGTTCGGGTAAGGACGCGAATATGCTACAAAGAAGCCCTGCTTGAAGTTGCTTAAATCATGAAACTTTCAGATCAGATTCAGATGTTTCCACATCTGAAACTGAAGTTCGTGTTCCTCCTCATGACTGCTGCTTGTGTTTCTCCTTTGGTAGCTGCTAACTTCGATTCTTACAGTTCCTTGATATTTCTTACTGCAGGGCTGTGATGCGTCCGTGTTGCTGAACGGTGCGACGAGCGAGAAGGAAGCCCCTCCAAACAAGGGCTCTCTGCGAGGGTTCAATGTTATTGACGATATCAAAGCCAAAGTCGAAGCTCTGTGTCCGGGGGTGATTTCATGCTCCGACATTTTGGCACTCGCAGGCAGAGATGCAATTGTAGCGGTGAGATAGATCATTAACTGGCTCATGTGTTCCAAGCAGCGTTTCACATTCTTGCATCAGCATTGGGAACCGTGAGAATTTTGGAGCTGATAGATTTCAGTCGAGTTTCATGTATTTCGGATCGGTCTTCACAGCTAACTCGGACACCGTCCGCTGGAATCTACGTACAGATGGGAGGAACAAACTGGAGTGTGCCACTTGGACGTCGAGATGGAGTTTTGTCCCTGGCGTCTGAAGCAAACGCAGATTTGCCCTCCCCCTTCTCAACCTTCGCTTCTTTAGTCAGCAACTTCGGCAAGAAAGGGCTCAGCACTTCTGATCTCGTTGTCCTGTCAGGTACAAGAATCAAAATTTCAACGAGTCACTGATGTTTCTTCGCCCTGCCCAGCGTCCACTGGAAAACCAAGAACCACCGAAGTTCCAATTCAAGCTCGTTGTCTGCACATGTGTTTACCACAATGAAACCTGTCAGAAAATATGCTCGTCAGCTCGAATCTCTGAGCATAACTCGTGGAAGCCTTCGTCGTAAATTTGATAGAAGACTCACTCTGCTTCGTTTTGTTCGCAGGCTCGCACACCGTTGGCCTTGCACACTGTGCCGTCATGCAGCCTCGTCTGTACAACTTTTCGAGCACTGTCAAGACGGACCCAGCTCTGGATCCCACATTCGCGACTGCTTTGAAGAAGCTGTGCAAGCAGGGTGACGTAGCCACCTTAATCAAGATGGATCAGAGCAAGGCCGTGGATACTTGGGATCCCAACTACTACTCCAACGTCCTTCGAGGAAGATCCCTCTTCACGTCGGACGATCAGCTGAAGAGAAACCCCGCAGGTGTGAAGGTTGTGCAGCAAATGAACAAGGCCCCTTCGCCTTTCAACAAAGCATTCGGGGACGCCATGGTCAAGATGGGCAAGATTGGCGTGCTCACAGGCACCAACGGCCAGATTCGCAAGAAATGCTTTGTGAAGAACTAGACTGCTTCTGAATTAGCGTCAACAATTTAGACAACGACGCTGAAGACAATCCGAGGAATTCACCGACCGGTTGAGTCGGGCTACCATTCTGGTACAGCGAGACGGGAGACAATCTCAAGCCGCAAACACGTCAGATTGGAGCTTTAAGATAGAATTCTTATCACTCAGACCCTAACCTCACAGAAGTCAATCGGCGATGGAGTTCACATGCCGATTCTTCGAGTTGAATCGTTCACTTCGATTATTTGAAAGATGTCTGAAGTGTAGCTGAGTTAGCTGAAGGACTTTTAGACAGTCATATTCACCGACAATATATTTTAAGCGTTGCTCCTGATTCAGAACGCACGCTGATTCTTTGATCGTTCTCCCAGTGAGATCATCCAATAAAACATGCACGGATCACCAACTCAAAATTTGTGTTCACATTGCGACCAAAGCCCTCGCGTTTCTCGCTCTATTTGCAGCTTGCATTTCTTGTGTTATCGTGAACTTTCCCTAATACGTGCTGTAAAATAAGCATCGTTTCCTGTATACGTGCACGTACGACGCCAGTTACCGTAGTTCATGAAAGCTTCTCGATGAGTCAAGATTTGCAGTTTCAGGAAATTAATGTCACAACTGAGGAGCTACTCAGGCATACCCCCAGTGCCGGACTTCCTGGAATCACATTCGCTGCGGAAGCTCAGTCAAGAGCTAACGCTTTGCATTGTGAAGAAAAGATTTTTTTCCAATTTAATGGTGTAAATTCATTCCTAGGTATACGCAAGAGTTGTTGACATGCAGATGCGTTTATTTCACAGAGGAGTAGCTAATATAAGTACCGCGGTCGCTTATTGACCCAAAGAGTGAGTGGTTGCTGTACTGTATAGTGTACGAACCAGATAATAAAGGTTTTTGATATCAGGAGTTCGTAAAAGGCAGGCAACCACTGGAAACATTCCATTCGGTTGAACGAGAAAGCAAGAGATGGTGTGTCGAGCAGCACTTGCAAGTTCTCCCCAGAATCTTGTGTGTGACAGATGAACCGGCAGATCTGATAAGCGATCTCATGATTAAATTAGTCATTTTTAAAATCCATCGGCCCTCGAGTTTAAGCACAGCACGCCTGTTAACGTATAATGCTTGAGACGTAAGAAAAAGAAAAACGCTCAAGGCCTCAGACATCGAAAACGTAATCTAGAATCACTTCTCACTGCTACCTCGGTTCACCATTAGCATAGAAGGATTTCCAACGTGCAGCCTTCTCATCAACAATTCTAATGCCGTAGGGAAGAACGGAGAGGAACTCTCTTTTGTGTAAAACTCGTTGTAAGTCGGCTTACTCGTGCACCTTATTTTCCAATTCCAGACTACGACGGGTCTAGCAATCTTCGATAGAGCCTTACTCGTGTACTCCACTTGTGTTGCGTAATTCAGAGTGTCTGTGTATTCAAATCATGGGCAGCACCTCAGGCCTACCGATTGCCTCGGAGATCAAAGATTTGACAAAATGGGTAGATTTGTGCGCTCTTTGGATCTAACCTCGTAGTTACAAAGGGCGTTCTGTATTCAACTATTAAAAGGCTGGTGATCACTCCGTGCAGTGTCATATCTCTGATGTGGGGAGGCCATTACGAACTTGGCCGCCTCCAGTTGAGTTTGGCGCAGTTGTGCCCGCTAAAAACGAACGATCCAGAGGAGTCTTGAAGGAGATGCAGTCTGGAGACAGTCACGACACGCCGACCAAGATGCGGCTCAAAATATGGAAAACTCGCACCAATCGATGTCGTCCTGAATTGCACCTGAGTACGCTGCTAGAGTTCGGTCTTCTTAGAATAGCTACATATGGTCAGGCATCATCAGGAGCCTTCGAATGAAGCTGAACTGATCATGAAGGAGGCCTCGCTGGTCTCGATCTCCACCAGCGCAGCATGAGCTTGCGGAAGCTGAACATGGTGCTTTGAAAAGACAACCACTCTTGACATAGATTGTGATAGAAGTCAGCGCTCAAGCTCTTGAGCTTTACAATTCGCCAGGAGCATCTGTCATCGTGAGAAAAACGTGGCAAGCCATGAAACGTGCATCCTCAAAATAACACAGATTTAATTATATATAAACCTTAAACCACGTCAATGAAGGCAGGAGAAAGACTTGAAAAATAATAACAGAGGAAAAGCATAAGAACTTTTCAGACAACGAAAACATGATGCGGATAGGCTACAAAAGATGCCGAGATTCCGTGAAAACAAGATTTCCAGTTGATTGCTCAGGGACAGGGGATGTGACGTTAAGCTCTGGGGCGCTCTTTCTTTCTGATTATAAATTTCTGATAGTTTTAAAGACAGGAAGGAGAAAGCGCATATTCTAAGACTCTGGACATCATGTTCACATCCTACATCGTTCATCCGACTCCTGCTAGATACGAATTGCTGAGAAACACCGGCAAGAAAGAAATTCCTATTTCAAGTGTGTTTGCACCGCAGGCGACTACAAGCACTATGATGCAAAACTTCCGGAGAGGTCAGGCCGTAAACAGTGCTTTCAAAGCTGGTCAATATTGTGGTTGAATCGGGTGATACTGATGGGCATGCATCTCGCCTCACCTCAAATATAGATCTCACAGGAGATATTAGTGAGGTATGAGGTAAACACGTGATTCAGAACTCACCTGACTAGCTTTTGGGCGTGAGCTCGACGTTGCTGTAGAGTCAGCCATGAGAAAATGGTGATGGCATAGCTGCAGTGGAGAACGAAATAAAAATTATTTCTAGATCTGATTAGCTCGTTCAGCAAATCTGAAAGGAGACTCGGGTCTTAGGAGTATAAATGCTGAACAATCCAGGCTACACATCTATCAAGTTCTTTTGTCCGCCTCTGAGTTTGAGGAAGTAAATCTTCCTCCATCCAATTTTACAGTCTTACGGTGAGGTTCAGTCGAATCATTAACGTCCAACTGTGTTAGCTGTTTTTCCAAGTTGCTGTTCACACTCAACAATCAAGATCTAGGATCTTGTAGTGTCAGGTTGTTGTCTGAATTAGGAATTTGCTCGATCCTGTAGAGCTTCAATGCTCGTTGAGCTGTGAGCAATTTTTGGCAAGCACATTGAACGGTACTCTCGTTGTACATGTGCAGCTCCACACACACTATCAGCAGCAACATGACATCAACCGGTTTCAAATGGCTGCTCGTTACATGCCTACTTTTGGTCGTTGTTGCAGTAGCTGATGCTCAGTTGACAGAATCGTTTTACGCGTCCAAGTGTCCTTCAGGTCCTGCCAAAGTTCGGGAAGTTATCAAGACATGGATTACTAAAGACAGGACTTTGGCCCCGGCTCTTCTTCGATTGCATTTCCATGACTGCTTCGTTCGGGTAATCTACAGTCCTATCCGCTGTGTGCATTCATCCATCCGATAGCAACCATAACTATACAAAAAATGAATTGGTTCTCTTGGTGAATGCTCACAACTATCATGCTATCTGATCCCCAAGCTTTTTGATTACCTCGTATCCATATGTATCATAAGCTTTGTGCCTCCATATTAAGCTTCTGGAAACGGTCGAGAGTACAAATCTTGCAGCCAGAAGTAGATTGAATCAAAATCAAATTGCTATTAAAAAGCTTCATGAATTCTGAAACTCTCGCCATTCTTGTGAATCACGCATGCTCTTGATCTTGCGTTCTTCAGGGCTGCGATGCTTCCGTGCTTCTGGATGGTGCCAATAGCGAGAAGCAGTCAGGTGGAAATAAAAATTCCCTCCGGGGTTTCAATGTCATCGATGATGTTAAGGCCAAAGTCGAGGCTTTATGCCCAGGCGTTGTGTCTTGCTCCGACATCCTCGCTCTGGCCGCTCGAGATGCCATCCTTGAGGTAAAACCTTCTTCCACTTTACAGCTTAAAGAAACGATAGAATTACGCTCATTGGACAATATATAGAGCTATGTACTCAGCCAGCCAGTAAGCTTCCAATTTAGCCAAAAGAACTGACCATTGGATTTCATGGGCAAACAGATGGGAGGAAAAAACTGGAGTGTTCCCCTCGGGCGACGAGATGGCGTTGTGTCACTGGCTTCGGAGGCCAACGCAAACCTGCCTTCTCCATTCTCGACCTTCTCGTCCCTGGTCACCAGCTTCGCCAAGAAGGGTCTGACAACTCAAGACATGGTGGTTCTTTCAGGTATAAAGATGGAGATGAGATTCTCCATCATACATTCAACCCATATTCCAGTTATCAAGGGCGAGAATGTTGACTCAAATGGAATGTTGAAGTTGCAAGTAGAAGGATGAGCTAGTACAGCCTGGATTTTGACTGACTGACTGAGAGAAGTGAATGCAGTAGATGTGAATTTCCAGTTTTCAGAACCGGAAGTGGCTGCCGAGATTCTCAGCAGCTGGTGCGATGAATGAATTTCTGACATAGTCGGCATCGCCATCTCAGGATCACATACAGTCGGGCTCACGAGCTGCGCGCTCCAACAAACACGTCTCTATAGTTTCTCGTCGTCAGTCAAGACCGACCCAGCGTTGGACCCGACTTTCGCAGCCTCTCTGAAGAAGCAGTGCAAGCAGGGCGACTTCACCACCAAGATTAAGATGGATCAGTCCAAGCCCGTCGACACTTGGGACCCCAACTACTACTCCAACATCATTCGCGGACGGGCCGTCTTCACTTCCGACGATCAGTTGAAGAGGAACCCGACGGGTCTGAAAATTGTGCAGCAGATGAACAGGTCACCTTCTCCTTTCAACGACAACTTCGGAGCCTCTATGGTCAAGATGGGAAAGATCGGTGTGCTCACGGGCACTCAAGGTCAGATCCGCAAGAAGTGTACAGTCAAGAACTAGATTCATTCCAGCACATGCTTAATTCGAATTTCTCGGATTCAGCTTACCGTAAGCTGGGCGAGCACCCCTGAAGTACATCGAGGTGTCCGCATTCCGCCCATTCTAATCTGAAATCTTAGAGAAAGCAACTGAACGCATATTTGGTATGTTCACATACGTATTCCTTAACTTCACCGATAATCAGCCGCCCGATTCTGCGGCATAGTCATTTCCTCCACATTGGAGTCGCATAGATTTGATTGATCATACAATGTTGGGCCACCTCACTCAATTTACATTAGTTAGATAATTAGAAATTTAATCTAGGACTAGCTTCCGACGGCGACTGTGACGACATTGGCAGTAGACTTTCAGATGCTCGACTTAGGACTTGCGGTATTCATGTAGCTGCCGCACTTATGAACGGAGATAGAATTATGTAGCCTGTTCATATGGCTTTCAAGGCTCGACCCATCGAATGGCGGCTCGATCGAGCTTTCTAGTTCATTCGAGGTCATTGTGATGGATAGACGCCTATTATGCTATTCAATTTTGGGAAGTTTATTACAGTGCTTGAATCTCCTACTGTATGGTCAGATTAACCTCATGTCTTGAAATAAATTACTTGTAAGAGGGGAAAATCCAAACCTCTATGAAGAATGCGGAGTTCAATGGTGTCAAGATACTTTTACTCGAAGAAAGCTACGAAATTAATAGATGCATTTTCAAACTACAACAAACATTCACTCAATAGCTCTTGTTGTGCTTTTCTTTCACATTCAATCTCATGTTTCGCATCTATCTACGATTTCCAGGTGTGGAGGTTACTTGATGGGACCATGGAAATTAAAAACAGTTGACGGGACCCAACAGGTTTCATTTTACACTATGGGGGTCCCATGGGGCTCTAGGGCCGTCGATGGGATCCCATCCACGGCCCTGCAGCCCCACCGTCAGTGATGTCCTAATACTATCTGGGGTTATTTCGAGTAGAACACGAAGTCGCTGCAGGACCAAATCCGGAGTAATTCAGATTCATGGTGCCCGTCGTTTTTGAACGAGTCACCAAAATACTCTGGCCAGACAGTGGCAGACACTCCCCACTCTATAGAGCAAATCAGTAGGTTATAAGAACATGGCTTACAGTGGCCGTCGAATGGGGTCCTATTAGGTAAAATGAAACTTGTTGGTACTTTCAAGTTTCCAAGGGTCCCATCAATTTATTACCTAGCATTTATCACTATCCAGGTAGCATTAGTTTCATCTAAAACCTTTGTAAATACAATTTGAGCTAAAGTTTGGGATACAAAGGCCTAACCGGTTCAAGCCACGACGACTGTTTATTAAGTACTTCATACTTCACTTTGTTTCTGAAGTGGTTTCTGGTGACCCTGGGAACGATAATCTGCAGCGATGAACTTTCACTTAGCCAGTGTCTTTTTTTTTCAAAAGAGAAATTTAGGCATTTTTTCATGGGTAATAAACAGTATATTTCACTTAATATGCATGTTCCACTTGGGGAGTCGATGCACAGTGCGTCACATGGAGAGAGCAACTCTATCACACATATTCGTGTCGGATGGAGATGCCTTTTTACATCTTTCAAAGTCATGTTGACTGTGTAGTATGTGAGAGGAAATGATTCAACCTTTATACAATTCATTTCCCTAATAACCAAATTTTCGTCAGTTTTTGGATGTAATTTATATATATTCTTAGTTTCTAAGGCTTGAGAGGTGTGAATGAATATTTGTTTCTCTTTGGTATATATCCTTATCTCATAATAAAACGTAAGAAAATTGCATAAATGTGTGTTTTAATAAGTAATCGTTTCATATTTGTGGTAAATATATGAGTTTGGCAGTAGGAGACCAGCCCGGTGTATAATTACCAGCAAGAATAAGCTGGAGTCTGATATCCTTGATAAAACACAATATTGTTACACCAATCGACAGAAAATATGCATAACATGTTTATCCAATTTACTTTGAAACATTCTAGGGTCAAGTGGGAATCAACTTTATATCTATTATTTATGTAATTTAGTAAAAGTAAAGAGGCCATGATAAAGATCTTGGACGCCATAAGTAACACGACATACGGACTGATCAAGTATACCATACATCATAGACACCCAGATGTCGTTCTCTAGTCTATTGGATCGAATGCTTTAAATCCATTGATACAGGAGGATGAGTATTCAGAAATAAAAAGAGCCAAAATATTATGAAATTAAGGTTGCAAAAGTATAAGCTACAATTGATGGACACAATGAAAGTAACCTGAAAGAATAGGCTTGACTGCCTTGTAAGTGGGAGAAGATTGACAATCCCTGACAAAACTTATGAAAACTCATTGATGTTGCCAAAGCTTTTCATATTAGGGTGTGGGCTGATTAGCACAAGAATTCCAATCCTGATCATGAGGCTTTTTGAAATGTTTTATTCATTGACTTCTACGTAAAGAATCATGTTAGAAGGTTTTTTCAAAAAATTTTGTACAATTTTTGATAAAATTCATCATCTTAGCAAAGAAGTGAATTTTTCGTACTAAATATGCAAAAGAGATGAATATTAAGTACAATGAACTACTATTTGTTGATATGATCATGCTGAAACAGTGAAAAATACTATAACATATTAATGGGAGGACTATGTTTAAATAATAAAAATTCTATGAAAAAACTTTGTTAGTACGTAATCAGTTATTGAGCAACTAAGTGGTTATCATTGAAATCTAATTTTCATTCAAAGGACCAGAACGTTAATAGTTTTAATTTCATTACTTCATGTTGTGGAAATTTTCTTTCAGATGAAGAAACGTGAACATGTATTTTATAAGATAGTTACTTTTAACTCATGATTTTCTAAAAAATTTCATGAATCGCGAGAAAATATTCTTAAGATGTATACTCCTTTCAGTGCTTCATTGTCTTTATATAGGCATATATTATATAGAATTTTATTTTATTTAAGATGAAAAAATTATCCATATATAGATAGTATCTATTATCTCAAAGCAGCAAAATTTTAAAATTTAGAAAAAAATAATCATCATTAACAAAGTTGTATGATATTTTCAGTTTACTTCGCACTTGTGACATTCCTTAGATCATTAAGGTGAAATTATCCTTGTAGTATCCAATCGATTGTTTTTATTAGTGAAGTTTTCCCTTTCTTTATTATGATACTCATAAATTCACAATATCATCACAATATTTTTGAAGCAACTCATCAGGATATTGCAGAGAAGTGGAGGGTGGATTGAGCCCTGCAAGAATGTCATGTTGTAATGTCAACAAAACTATATTCAACTCTTCTGCAATTTCATCTTTCCAGTTCATTTTCTTCTCAACACCCTTGGCATGTATGTCCCATCTTGGTGATCAAATATAAACTTTTTTCTTGAATCATAGGTCTCATTAAATGTGTGATAATTTGTCTTATTATACATTATTTTACTAATATGATGACATCTTCTAAAGTTAGGCTTCCAATATATCATTGAATATGTGAGAATGAAGGGCTTTCTGCTTTGAATGTAGATTCTCATGGCATATTTAGAGTAGACTTTATACATCTCATACGAATGAAAGAAAATAAATTTCCTACTTTTGTCATCCAAATCATATATTCCATCATTCTTACGACTACATGTTATAATCAGGTCATATGCCGGCAATATACGCTAGCATAATCTGCTCGCTGGACAATAAATGAATTAGATATAAGAACACAAAAAATAAGTTTTCAATAAGCAAAACGAACCAAGGTTCAAAGCTAAATAGACAGGGAGTGTTGCCTAGCAGGAAACACCGTGTTCAAACATCTCACTACAGTAGCTAACAGGAACAACAATTTGGCCTCGGCGTGCATATCGCTTTCGAAAATGTGGTAGGGTCCAACAATGTGGTCCGACGACCATGAACGCATGGATTCAGAACATGTGACAGGCAGTTCGTATGCCCACATTTCTCTCGGCGAATACTTGGCATGTTGGGGTCTCCGGTTCAGAGCCAGACATGACCCGTCACCAAAGCGCCAGCTCAGGAGCATGGCATCCAATCCAAGTTGTGTGCACTGGAAGGATGACGATGACTGTCTGAGTTGTCGAGAACGTGAGATCCAACTCATTCCAGCACCGAATACATTTCGTGAAGACGGTAAGTCTGTGGGAGGGTAATAAATACAATAGTGCACAAGTCCACAAAGAGAATGTGTGCCAAGTGAAACAATCGTCTCACTAAATCAGATACAGAGACGTTGCATGTAATTAGGCGGTCTTGTTCATGGGTTTACTCTGATTATATTTATTTTATATGTTTTATTCTTTCGTTTTCAAGTTAGATACTTTTGTATGTACACCAGGTAAGGAGAAACATTCATGATTTCCCTTTACACTCTATCTCTTGATCACTTTATAATATGTAGTGATAAATAGGTTCCATATAGCTCTTCTCTTTTGCTTCCTGCGATTAAAAGTTAAAATGAAAAGCATTCGTTCCCTTTTCAACATGATGCTAATTTCATATGCAATCACACGCAGTTCTGTATTTAATATAAAAGTACATATCTGTCAGCATATCAGATAACAATAGAATTCATATTGTTACAAATATACATTAAAATTGCTTTTTCCTTCAATTTTCATGTCTTCACAATAAAAATACAAGCTACTGTAATAAATCAGAAACTCTTACGAATTTCAATCATTGGATAAATTTGAATAAAGAACAAGACCTTTAATATCTTATAATCTTCTCATTATGTAGTTTCAATTAGAGAAAGAACTTGTCGGCCACATAACTCTTATTTGTTTAGTAAATCGTCATGTTTGATCTAGTAAATATATTATGGATAATAATGTGAAATCATGAGACTTTTGTCAAATGGAATCTTTTCATTTCAAGTTTCAAGTCCTCTTGAAAAAAAAATTCCAGATTTTCTTATGTATAGAAGGTTCAAAATTATTTTTTAGATAAATTTAGGTTTATAAATATTGCAACATTTAAAACTTAAGAAAGAAACGTAAGAAAATTCTTCCATCTTATTACATTTTCATAGAATAAGATTAAAATTTCTGGTGATCGAACTATGCGAAATGAATCTAAACGGTTGAGTAATATCTACATGATACAGAAGGTGTTTCTATGCAATTCTAAGTCAAACTTTTTCAATCAGATTTTGTTATATATTAATTTTTAAGAAACAAATTTTAATCTTCCATGTGAATCAAACTATCAAATTCTCTTTGATTGAGCAAAATTTTTTTTATCACCAAAGACATTTGATGTACGATTTTTTTAAGAAAAATCACTATTTTGTCAAAATCACAAAATCTATATTAGATTTCAACATATTATTTATGAATAGTTTCAAGTTTCTTCCCAATTGCAATTAAGATATTAAGGCATAAATTGCAATGATGAATGTCAATCAACATATCTACCATCATTGATTTGTATTTCATACATATGAAGATAATCTACAATTGCATTTGAATGTAAGTCGGTATGTAGACTGTGTGGATGCCACAGTTCTGTATAATGATACAAAACTATAATGATGACGAGCTCCTAGCTTGCCGTTTTAAGTCGTCATTTGTAACGCTGGATGGATCTTTTTATACATTTACCACTCATTCTTGTATACTAGAGCTTAATATCGTATAAGATGATGCTAAAAGATCCTTTGTTTTATATCATGACTATGTAACAAATTCTTCGGAACTTCGTAAAAAATGTTTGAAATATGACACCAAGCGCAAGATTCAAATCTCTTGACAAACGATACTGCTGATTTTTTCAAGCAAGAAAAAGTTCAACGGTGTTCATTTTATTCATGAAATGCATTGAGCATATGTCAGCAGCTATTGATAAAACAATGACGATATATTTCCACACAAAATAAGTTAAAGTATATAGTCAATATTTTTGCAAGATAAGACGGCAGGAGACTAGAAAAATAGGGACTAAAAGATAAATTCTCATTCAAAAAAAAACCTTTGAGGTTAAGAATTGATTGGATGCTTTACATTTTTCAGTACGGAATCAAGCAAAAAAAATTAAAAAATGATGTAATTTAAAGACCATCGGTCCAGCTTCTCATGGATTGATGGCTCAGTGGTCATCACTACGAGAATACGATTTCATTGCGTTTTAGCTTCAACTAACACATAAAATATGTTGTTAGCATATATTCAGATTATTACACCAAAAACATATCCTCGAAAGAAATCGTTTCCATATTATATTTCTCTTTGTGGAGTAATTTTCATTTAATATTTATTTATCAAATATGGATATTCATCCCAATTGTACATTTGTGACAATGGAGACAAAGATTATCAACCTCTTGTTAAAGCCGGTGTGTAGTGGCTTCATTCTAAGATATGATATTAAATCAAGCCAAACACTCTTAGTTGCGTTCTGTGCAAAGCAATATTTGGCTTCGACCCCTGCTTATGTATGAGAAACACAAGAAAAGTAATAAACACCTCATGTCACTGTCTCAGAGCCATCGTGTTTGTGCATGGTGTACACGCACATTCTATGGTTGAAACAATTTCCTTCGAAGACAAGGTAGATTCCCCCCGTTCGTTTGCATGTTATAACACTCGAAGACACACTTTGTCTTGAGGTACGCCTCTTCTTGCGACGAAGACAGACTCTCAAAATTCAGATACCGTAAGAAAGGATTACCCTTAAATCGAGGTCTGTAGTCATAGCTCCCTTACATTTTAGATATCCTAAGATGAAAGTACGATGCTGGCTGCGAACTGAATATTTTCAAATTGTAAGGAAATCAGTGATTTCTCCAATGCTCTACGCCGGGGGTAACTCCCTACACTGAAATGAAAATTACTTTTGTAAAGATTTTGTCTTGCAGCCTACATCTTAGTACGTCTAGTCAAGGTTTGCATGCGGTAGAAATTCGAGCAAAGTCCGGAGAGGAACATTCGAGCAGAGTCTCAGAGTTGTCTGGTTCGCGGATTGTCTGCGAAGTATTCTTCACAAGTTTTATGCGTGGTCCATGTTCAGTCCCATACATCGATATTCATTTGGAAAGGTTCTCTATCTCTTCAGGTCGATGTGCATTTGTGTCAAGGACTTCTCCGTGACAACTGCGCACACCATATGCTGAATTTGACTTGCGGTTCAGACGGAATTCGTAGAAGCAGAAAATCCTCCAAGTGAAGACGAATTATTTTAAGGGCAGCATGAGAATTTCGCACTGCTCGCCCTTGTACCCGGCGACTCTCGAGGAGCTTGTAGCTGCATTCTCGAAAGAATGTTGGAGATGGACTCCACTTGATCGTCCACAAATAGTATGCCAGATCTGAAGTCCGTGAAAAATTGATTCCCTCCTGCCAGAGTATCCTCATCTTCAGTGCCACCGTGCAAGTTTACAAATTTATACCCAACGTTGAACCTACCAACTGTTCAGATGCTTGTTCTCTTATGTCTAAATATGCACACGTCTGTTCCTATTTGTGACTGCAGTGACCTTCCTAGAAAAGTAAGACATGAAATGATTTGCAGTTCTCTTGTGTATACAGACTCAAGAGAATTTGAGAAATTCAACACGCGGAATTCTTGTTCCTTCTAAGGTAAAACTATTCGCTGGTAAATTGGTTATACAGTAACACATTCGTCTTTTCAAGGACTTCAGTTTAGAGAGCACGAAATTTCTCTATTGCGTGTCCATCTCGGATCTTAACTGCCCTAAGGAGCCCGTAGATATTTTTCTCAGCGTATTATTGAAGCATGTTTACTATTCGAGTTTAGTTCGAAGGGGGTTTGAAAGAAATGAGCCTGATTGAGCACCAGACTAAAAGCTACGATTGAGCACTCAATTATTAAACTTGATGAGCACTTCGGTCCACAAAACGAAAAACGTAGAAGATCCAATCTTTTGATTTGAATTTGCAGGTGGGTCTTCAATGATTAGCAGTGATTTGGGCTGTGATGCTTAATTCCCATGTGCCATCTGTCTTGTCTTCCAGTCGATGGAAGGCCTCGGAAGGAGGACGATGCACATAAAAGTCACTTTCTGTCTGACATGCATAGCAAGATTCTTATAGCTGTGACAGTAAACACTCAGTTTTCGACAGCCTTCCATGCAGCAACTTGCCATGTCGCAACCGCAAAAGTTGCTGAGTAGTCACATTTTGGATCACAGCGGGCCGCATCTTGGCACCTTCTCTCCTTATATTGCACATCCACGACTGCTTCCTCCGACGAAGGTCCTTGGTGTGTGTTTCCATTTCCTTCCCATTGAACCGCTTTTAGTATATGTGCTTGCAAAGAAATACATGATGCAGGTCAGTAATCGAGATGATGTGTATGCACCCCATGCAGTCTTCCAACCAAATGTCATTCTGCATATTTTGCCAAAGCCAGGTCTGTGATGCGTCCGTGCTTCTCGATCCAGTTTTTGGAGTGCAGGCATAGAAGGATAGTGCTGGAAACTCACTGCGAAGATTTAAACTCATGAACGATGTCAGGGCTGAAGTTGAAGCTATTTGTCCCGGCGTAGACAATTTTGCTCTTGCTGCCAGGAATGCCATGAGCTTGGTAGCATCACATCTGCTTGAACTGTCTTGTTGCATTGCAGTAGAGTTGTACGACTACTTGGAGCAGAATCAAGTACGAGTGTAAAGATCTACAGATTAGCTTTTGAATCTGAAGAAGCTCGAGAGTTCACCTCTGACAATCCATATTGTCCAATTTCCAGTATGAGGGGATCAATTGGAAAGTCCCGCTGGGGCGGAGAGACGGAGCCGGTAATGAATTACCAGCTCAGACTGCAAAATTCGACCCACTACTCAAACCTTCGGGAAGAATGAAAGGACTCAGTCTGAAGGACATGATTGTGCTTCCGGGTGAGTAATTTGACCTGCATGCTTTATCTATCACTACTACTTCAGGTCCAATTCAAGATAACAGAGAATGATCTCTAACCTATAGTGTTTTGATAAATTCCTTGAAGGAAATCCAGCAAACTACTTCTAGGGATATACGCCATGCTTTTTCTCTGTTCACAACCTTTTGCTTTTTCTGAACTGGAATCGATGGGTTAAACATGACCAACGATTGGATCAGCCTTCATTACAACTGACTGAGCTCTTGCACAGTGAACTTGAAAAGGAATGCTCGTTCTAAGATGTCTTGTATAAATGCTTTTCATCAGTTGCAGCACAGCAGATACTACCATCATGTTCATACAGGCACTTTCTTTTCTCAAGGTGCACAAAGTGTAGGTTCTGCACACGAGACTTCAGCATCGTCTTTACAACCTTTCCTTCTCTGTGCAGACGGATCAGAGCCCCGACCCTACCTGGAAATTGCAATGTGAATTTGGAGACATGACACAGAATGGTGTGCATGGATCAGACCGGGTCGTTGCATACCTGGATACCAAATATCACTCCATAGTATTACGGGGAAGAGTCTTGTTCCAGTACGATGAAGCACTGAAGAAATCAAAAGCCCTGGGGCGTGGACTGTTGTTGCTCGATAGATTTCCTTCTCCTTTGCCACTTCCATGGATCATTTGGGGAACAGTAGATGTGCTTACAGGAAGCATCGGCCGATGCTTCCTGATATGGAGGACATGTGAATCTATGAATCAGGAGAATACAGGCTTATCAATGCAGTTCTGTCAGGGCACTTCAGCACATCCATTCAGCATTCATATCATGCCCACATCAACTAATTCCAAACTTGGGGAAGATGGACGGATGGTTTCATTCTAGCCGTCTTTCTCAAGTCCCTTGTTGCATCATGCAAATCTAGGTCTATGTCTGTCCACGAGGATGAGCCGCCTTCGCGTGAATCATTTCGGCCGTCGAGTTTTAGTGGAAGTTTCACACTCCTACTATCTCGATGGGGCCGGTCTGGTGGATTTTGAATCTTCATGGAAGTAGAACTCTTCCCAATTTTGGCATCCAATGTCAGATGAATTAGTACAATGTTAATATTTCGACCTTTGTCTTCATATAGATTTTGTACTAATGCAATTCAGTACTATTGCGATATGCTTAAAGAAACTTTGTTTTTAGAGACTCGTTGTATTGCTGAAGTTACATGGTAAAGATTGTACATTGTGGTACTTGTAAGTCATTCATTATGGAATGAGCTAAGGGGTCATATGAAGAAAGTAAGGATCGATATATACATTACCATTACCATTACATCTTTAGTTTAAAATGAACATCCACATTCACGGATTGAAACAAATTTTTTTGACTCCTGAACATGTTGATAAATATTCAAAGTTCATACACACTCAACCAATCCATATAACAAATTAAATCCCATTTGGAATTCATAGGATAATATCAATTCTCTTGAGATAATTTTATTATGGTGGATGATCATTGTCACCTGCGATGCGTCAAGAGGTTCGACTCTGAGATTGTTCTGTTGTAAGTGAACATATACGTTCAACACTCCCAAAGCCTCCTTGTATCTCATAAATCAAATCGTGTACTTCGCAGAATTAGTTGAAGTTAAAAGCCCCATCATGGTGCTGATTCTACTTCTACGAACCTTTCTAATACTAGGTTTTCTAACTAACTTTTACGCTGATAGACTCTATCGGCCGAATTTAAAATTTGAATGAATCTGCAATTTACTCGGAAATGCATCGATGATCAACTGCATTCCAGTATTTTATTTTTTTAAGATAAAAACCTTTTTTCTACACTCTTCTTGCTATGCATGTTTAATGGCTCTTGTCTTTAGCATCCCATGGTCCAGTACGATTGATCACTTCTTTCCGGCTTTAATCTTTGCCCCTAATATTGAATTAAAATATTTGAAATTTATGATTACACTTATTATGAAAAGTTGAATTGTTAAATTGTAAAATATACATATTCAATGACATGAGATGATACGACTTTTCGATGAATCACAAATTTTAATCTATTTTTTTAATTTATTCAATTTAAAAATTTCTTATTTTTTCTTCTTATTTTTCTTCCAAAAAATTTGAAAAAGTTTTTGATCAGATATACATTACATCAAAAAATTATTTTATAATATTTTTATCATTTGAAAAATCTGTAAAATTAATAAAATAAAATTATCAAACAAATTCAACTTGCTGAACTCACATACAATCACTACAAACATACGTTGTTTAAACTTGCAAGATTTGTTTATTAGAACATCTCAGTTTTTTCTAATACATTCTAAAAAAGTCATCAATAGCTTTTGTAAGTTTTTATATATGGAGATAGTTTAATCAGCTTCATTAAATGATAAAAGACTAACCTATGTTACCAAAAAATTTTAATTAATTCATAACAATCTACGTTTCCATTTATGTGGTGGATACCGTAACCTCTCTAATCTAAATAATTATTCAAAATTTTTTGAAATTTTTTTTTAAATGTCACAGATAGTTTTTTGAACTCTTATTTCAAGAGGTATTATGATGAGCATCACTTTCTCAGTTTGAATTAATCTATGTTGTCAAATAATTTGAGTTAATTCATAACAATCTATCACTGAATTTATGTTGTGGAGATCTTAACCTCCATAACCTATATAATTGTTTTGCAAAAAAAAGTAGTCAAACTTTAAAACATTGATTTCACTTTAAACATGAGCTAATTAATATTAATATTAATTTGTAATTATAAGCATGTTAGAGTCAAAATCTATACTCATTTAAAAAAAATATTGTAAACTTTACTTGTCATTCTCAAGAAAAATTTACAAGATATCACAATATTATTCAAAAAATAAATTTGATTAAAATATCATATATATTGAATGTATGGTCAGTTTTAACTAGCTCAAACTTCTAATCAAGTAGTTTATCTTTGATACAGTGATTTTTTATGATAATGCGTTTCATGTTGCTGCTTATCTTTTATTTTGCAGCAAATTTTAACTCATTTTGACCATCACAATAAAAATTCCCAACTTTATGTTTTTATTTGATCGTAATGATAAATGTATTCAACCAATTTACTCTTTTTTTTGCTGTTGTTACATATTCAACTTTCATTATGTACTGAAGTATGCACTTTTTCAGAATATATTTCTAACTAATGCATTAACCATCACGTGTAAACATATATTTAATTGTAGATATATATTTTATATTCATTTATAAATATAAGAATAAATATATTTTGTTCATAATCTAATTCATTAAATCTTAGCATTGATTGACAATTTCAAATAATAAAAATTTAATCATTATTGGCAATACTTTTGAATCTAGTTTAGAGTTTTTCAATGCATCTTACTTATCAAACTTATATTTTTTTAATATTATCAAATCTTGTACTAACCATAAAGTACGTGAAATTGAACAAAAAAATATAAAACAATTCATAACATTTTTCATTTTTAATGACATAAACTAAAGATTAAGCTAAAAAATTTTGAAATGTGTTGGAAAATTAGATCAATTTTTTTTATGTTTAACCTATTAAACAAATGTTGGATGTACATATTTGTACTAATCATAGTCTTTTGTTTTTCAAATCCTAAAGAACATACATCCTTAGCATACTCTTACATTGATACAAATTTTTCTTCTTGGATGTAAATTTCATTAGATTTTTGAATTTGTTAAAGTTAGTTTATCTTTTATCAAAATGAACATGTCATCCACATACATTACTAATATAATGAGATAAAAATTCTCTTGATTCAACTTTTTATTTACATTCATTAAATAATACACACTTAGTGAAAATCAAGACTGCATGCCATTACCTACAAATTTATTTCAACACATATAATGAGTTGAATAAATTATAAATTAAAATTTCAGAATTTTTTTTAAAGGAAATTGGTGATCTTGTGAAATTTTTTGCTCTAAAAATATTAAATTGATCTATAATCAGATCAAATATTGCATTCAACTCATAATTCAGTTCAATTCTTACATATTTTGTTATAATTTGATTAATATAGTCTAGATTTTGTTGTATTTTGGATTTTTTTTTTCTATGTGAAATCTCTAGCCACCAATCTTTTTATGACATTTTTTTTACGTCTTTTGCAAAATTGTACACTTATTTGATATCAATCAAAGGTATATATCTAAAAAATTAGTTTTCACCTATTGTTATCAATTAACAATTACATTTCACGTTCCATAGCAGTAATTCACTCAAGCTTATTCAGAAAAAACTTGAGATTTTATGTAAAAATATAATTCTCATTTCTTTCAAATCAATACGTTGCCATCATTCTCCGTAGTCTCAATATGAATTAGATTTTAAGTTGAATCTGTTAATAATTTATGTTTTATAGAATCTCTACTTATCACTTTTCATTTGCTCTTCATAAACAATCATGATTGATCTCTATCATTTTATGCAATCAATACTAACTCACCATCCATGGTTTAATTCTTCAATTTGTACTCCTTGTGTCAAATTGTCAAATCAACAATGATTAATATTTCTCTCAACAACTTGTAATGAACTAGAAATTTGTATTTCTTAGTCTTAGTTTTAGAAGGTTGAAAATTTTTCCATCATCAGGGCTAAAAAATATAAACATCCATACTTATAGTAATTTTGCAGGACTACTGGGGACTTTATGAAAAAAATTAGAATTAGTTAGAATAAAATAAAATAATTTAAAATTTTTAAAATATTGTTAGAATTCTACTATTGCTGAAAAATTTATAATCTTTCACAATTATTAGCAAATTAGCAAATCCAAAATCACAACACTTCATGTAGTATCAAACTGTACATATTCAACTTATATATGAGAGTTTAAGTTGTATAATAAAAAATTTTAATTGTTTGTGTTTTAACTCAAATGGAGTAAAAAAAGACTGATTGCATTAGATGATAGTTTTTTTAACCAAAAAAATCATGTTCTTGTTATCTTCAGCTCAAAATCCATGTTATAAGCTAGATTGACTTAGCATACTATGCATCTTAATAAAGTTTGGTTGAGAATCTTAGAAACAACGCATTATTGCAAAATACAAGCAACGATGAGATTATGAATGATTTAATACTCTTTGCATTAACTTTCAAATTATATATATATATTTCACTATCATCTTTACGCGAGTAAATGAGCTTGTGTTCAGTCTAAGTTTCAACTTGGACTTTTAAAAAGAATTAAAATTTTTGTGAAACAAATTAAATTTTGATTAATCATCAACAATTGGTACAAAAGATAATTTTTCTGAAAGTTTTATTATTTTCATAATACTAACAGAATTTTTAGAAAATGGGGTTTTTGAACAAGATACTAAAACGTTATTCAAGTAATTTTTTGGATTTTTGAATTCTAAAATCTCAAAATTTTCACTTTGATGGTTTCTCATGACACAATATTTACAAAAGTAAAATTCAGCGTTACTCATTTTAGTCAATAGGTTAATATGATTCATATCTTAGAATGCCATCCATGAAAGTTTACAACTTGAGATTTAGTAGAGTTTTTTTCATCACAAATAATAATTTTCTCTAGCATGTATACATTTTCATGCTTGAAAGTACTCAGCATAATCTTATCACTTTTTCTCACTTCAAGTACTTTCATTATATAATTTTACTGAAGATCTTTTGATCTAACCCATTCCAAGAGAGATAAGCTTTTTCAGTGATTTTTTTAAGATCAAAAACTGAGAACAACAGGTGATTTAAATGATAAGAATTGTGGACTACCTCCATGTTATAGATTTCAACATATTTGAAATCAACTTTATCCAACAATAAAAACTTAAAAGTTTGGTACATGAATTTTTGTTATGACTAGAAAAACATTTAAGAGTTCAAAACAAGTATTTATATAAAGAAAAATGAAATGCGTACATGGATTAAAAATGACTGGAGCTCTTGTGGCATTTTTGCGTGCCACAAATATTTGACTTTTAAAAATGGAAATGAGAGTTGATACTGATGCATAAAAGTTAGAACTTTCATAAAAAATGTTGATCTTCAGCGGCAGTATGTTTGAATAGAGTACATAGGATTGGACATTATTGTCTTCTGAAGCTTTAATTTACTTACATTGAAACGCATCGTTCAGTATGATCTATTAAATATTAGGACTTTAAAAAAACTTATTCTTCTTTTGCAAATTTCAAATTGATGTTATATATCTGCT